TACACTTCATCTTTTGAATTTTCACTAGGACCGCTGCTGAGAGCCACCCGCTCTGACTTGGCCCCGAATATAATCAACTCCATAAATCTTATAACATGAATGGCCCTCTTCGACGAGGCACCCGGTGGAATCACTTCCTTGAAACCTGCATTTATACAAGGCATAAATCCTGAATCCTTTCCCAAGTCTGAACAGGTCCAATAAGGCCAGTCATAACATGCATTTCAACAATCCCTTTGCACAATTTCATCTCTTATGTTCTTTTCCCGTAGCTAGAATAACCATCAACATACTAATAACCAGAAACCTTCAAGCAATCAACTCTGCAACCTATCACAAGCGGTAGGACTCTCCCACTTAGCTTGAAAGCCCATTATGCATCTCCGCCACTCTTCCACTTTTGGCAGAACTCATCCCCTAATCCGACTACTCAACCTTTGCTTCTATACCTGGCCTTTCTTGCAATTTGAAACTCTGCATTGACACTTCCCACATGCCTTTCTTCATTTTTTGCTGCTCAGTTGCTGCCTTAATAAGAATTTATCTTCATGGAACTTGAATTCTCAATTTGCTACTAACTCCAAACCTATCCGAAGGTCATTCTTTCTCGAACCATTAACAATAGAAATACTGATTAAATCCTGAACCACGCGCATCCTGCGATATCTGATAGTCGTATCTTTGATACTATTTCACAATATCTTGCCTCAAAGGCGAATCGTAGAAGATCATAACACCGACAAACTTGATGTGTCCAATTAGGACAACAACACCCCAATATAAAAGAAAATCCACCTCGCTTTCAATTGCCAAGTTCTTATTACTTCCACCAGTCTACATCTGACCCTCCTTAGCTCGATTGCTTTTTCCCCTGCCGGGAATAACACACTGAATCTCTTGATTGTGCGCTGAGTAAACCTCCCTTGAAATCATTCACTGCCCTGACACGTGGGCAACACCCTACCATCATATTACTACTACAGAAAAAGACATTCATATGCATTGCGGCAACTTGTGCCTTAGCCTCAAAGCCCTCGAAAATACCGCTACTGGGCGGAAACAACAAAATATTCTTCCATAAGGCGACGACATAATCTGATCAACTTAACCGGGAGAAACATCCGCATCACATCTGTAGTACCATTACGGTTCTTCAATTTTCGATTATTAACAAGCGGTTCGCGTTCGCATAGGATTGAGTAAGAAAGAAACAAGAAGGGCATAAGCCTTCATGAAATCGAATCGCACGATAAGGAATCAAGAAGGAAGTATTCCTAACAGTCCTGCGCCTCCCGAGGATAAGTACAAAACGTCTC